CATACTCCTCAAAACCTCCTGATCAGAGGCCTTAGTGGTGGATGTAGTTTATTGTCATACCCAGGATGCTTATTGTTAAAATGGTTCTGTTGAATGATGTGTATGATATGAATGAAAGAGGAAATGATAGATAATGAAGATTATGAGGATAAATCTATCTGTATATTGTATCTTTATGTTCAAAGCAAGTAGCATAGAATCAAATAGTACATACTTGAGAAATATTTATATGATAGAAAATAATCAAATATATTCCTTTTATTTGTGATATATTAAAAAAATGCTTGAGGCTCACGTGTTTCATCCATGGTATTCTCAGTATCCTTCTGTAGAAGTAGATTTCTGTTGCTTCATCTGTTAGTAAATTATACTTGTGTATTAAGTTAGTCTCCTGTTAAAGGAACCTGCAGTAGAAACCCACAATATTTGGGTTGAACCAACCTTGGTACCTTGATTGCATCTCATAAATACCCTGGTGGAATCTCTTACCATGCTCATTGCTTATGGCACCCATATCTTTTTAAAAAAAGGTCAAGATGAGAATACAAGAAGAGAATTTTAAGTGACATCTGACATCTCTATGTTTTATACTCTGCTATCATTTTGTTTTTTAAATCCAAATAGATTATTGCATGAGAACCAAGAAAGTTCTGTACAGCTAACACAAATGAATCACATGCCATCATGGATACTAATATATTATTAAAATATTGTTAATATATATATATATATATATATATATAATATGGGCTGGGGAAGAGCAATGGGGAGGTTCAATTCCCAAAATCATAAGTTGAGGGAGAGGTCATAATTCCAAAGGTCATAAATCAGTCTTGCAATTTCAATATCAAGAAATACCAGAGACGTAAATCAGAAGGGTCAAAAATCAACATCCACAACTCACAACACACAACTACCTTCTTCACCAATGACGAGCCAAGAATCTCTCTGTCATCGAAAGTAACATTCTTTTATTGGGGCAAGAAAGGTAGTCATTGGTCAAGACTGGTAGGGAAGAACAAACAATTACCATATTTCGAGGCCTACTAAAGTTGAATCAATCTTTTTCTGGTTTTCTTTTTCAACAGATAGCACAGAGAACACAAATTCTTTCATGAGATAAGACTTGTTTTTCTCCTTTGTCAGCACAGTATGTTAACTCTGTAGATTTCCTGTAGAGTATATGGCCACAACATCTGCTTGTGAAGTAAATGAACACAGCTTTTCATGCTAGCAATTGCTGCTGTGGTTTTCATAGAAAAGCAGGTTTTATGAAAATAGTTTTAAATTCAGAGTTGTCCTTCTCCTAGAGTGGTTGCCAACCAAAGCTAGAGATCCCAGTCTACCCTGCTATTAACTCCTAGGTTGGGAAAAGAGATTTTCCCAATGGTAATTATGCAAAAGCAGATGCAAAAGCCTTGGTTTGAATTCAATCCTGCTTTCTGCACTGATAGCAACTATCCTCTATACACCTCCTAATATAATATATACTAATATATTATTAATATAATATCTACCTTGCACATAAATATGCTACACACATATATAAAAAATTTGATGTGTTTGAATGATAAGGAGTATAGATATAGAAAGAGCATATTTGATTTAGTTTAGGACAGCTTCCCTTGTTTGGTTATTATTGTGAGACCGGAACTACCTACACAATAGACTCTTCCAGGTCTATATTAAGTATGCGACACAACACTCTACACTGAGAGATAGAGTGACATAGAGAGAGCCACGTACGACTACCAGTATTGGACACTAACATAGTAATCTCCACTTACACTCTGTAACCTGTTGTTAATATATCTTTCTTACATATAATCTGTGTTCCGTGTTTTCCTTCTGTGGTCCCAACTTTGGCCCCACATCAGTTATACAATGTGATAAGTCCTGACCTGGCATCTCAAATCCAGTCGCTTTCTCACAGACATGATGTGGCTTCCCTCTGTATTTTCTACGAATATTTTCATGGCAACTGCTCTGATGAGCTATTTTCACTGGTGTCCCAACTGCATGAATTTAAGCATGCTACTAGGTTGGCATCTCAGTCCCACTCTTTTACTGTCAAAACAGTTAAATGTAACCACCCCTTCTACTCCAACAGCTTTTTCTCTCACACTTCCCAACAGTGGAACTCCCTTCCTCTTAATTGCTTCCCTGATAGCTATAAGCTTCAAAAATTTAAATGTAATGTCAATTGACATCTTCTGATGCCTTGATCTGGATCCCCATCCTTCTCTTTATCCTTTTCTCAAACAGCCTTCTTTTCTCTTACTTTCAATCTCTGTAACCCCTTGCATGCTAGTGGCACTCCTGTCTTGCTTGGGGTGAAATGTTTAAAAAAAAAAAAAAGCAAAAGATTATTTGGTGATTTGTGTAATTATATCAAACAAGTTTCTTTTATGTACTGGATCACTTCCGAATATGGGCAATCATGGCTCTCCATAACTTCCTATACATTAAAGCTCTGAACAGTATTTGGTAACTTGCTGTTTTCCTTTGCACTTTTTGCTTTCAATATATCCTGGAAGTGTCAAATTCTCCAAGACCTCTTTCCCCATCAGTTGTTCCAGAAATTTCAACTCTCTTTCTGTACAAGTGACTTTTTGTTCCCATTTTCTTTCAGAACTACTTGTTGCTTACATGTTTCATCCATGGTATTCTCAGTATCCTTCTGTAGAAGTAGATTTCTGTTGCTTCATCTGTGTGCAAATTATCCAGCATTCACTTTCATAAAAGAGGATTGATATGACATTGCAATTCAAAACTCTTGTCATTGTTTCTAATGACATTTTTGTGTTTCTTAGTACTTTAATTAACTTTTGGAAGGCATCTTTCTCTATTCCAATACACCTTTGGATTTCAGCCTCACATTTTCTGTGATCTGCTAAAACAATTTCAGATATTTCAATTTCTGTCCTTCATTAATTTTGACATCTCCAATTTGTAGTTTGCATCTTGTATTATCACTTGAGTTAAAGAACATACATTCTGTTTTCTTACAATTGATGATTAGTCTTTTCATCCCATTTCTCCAATTATGTGCAAACATTTTTTTTTTTTTTACTGATAGTACACTCAATACAAGGCCCAATGGCCACTCAAGTAAGAGGATTACTGAGTAAGATTGTAAGTGAGGGGGAAGGAGGAAGTAAGAGAGTATTATGAGGACAAGTAGGATAGATTTTGGTTGACATTGAACTTAAAGTGACCAAGATTATCATTATCAGGGAAGCATTCTCTCAGGAGTTTAATCCACAAAGTAACAGCTCTAGGAAGTAGTTATCTAAATAGAATGTTTTTTCATCAAAGGAACACAAAGAGAATGCGGATGGTTTGCAGCTGTGAAAATCTGAGCTGGTAGCATTGAGAAATGTAACTCATCCAAACATTTGCCATCATAATAATGATAGAGTAGTAAAAGGCGGATGATGTTTTATCTGTGTGATATGGGTTGCAAGGTGGAGAATATTTCATTACACATAAAGCCATGTAAGCACTTTTGAACTCACCAGCCCAGTTATGGCACCAATAGCCCATTCTAGGTCTGATCTGACCCTCTATAAAGATAGATCATGGCAGTGGGAGTTAGATATTTTCAAGAGTGATGTAATGATCTGACCATTCTTATTTCTTCAAACTTAAATACATGCTTTTCACCCACTGGCAAAATTGTTTTTAATCAGTATAAATGCTTAATGGATCTTAAGTGGACATTTGATATTTCTGGAACATTTCCCAAGTAATAGCTGCTCTGAAAGTAGACAGTCTTAGGATTTCAGAACTGGTTTTAACTTTGTCTAAACTATAAGTATTTGTCAAGTTATGATCATTTGAATTTAATCAAAAGTTGCATATGTTTGATCATTTAGTTTCAGTTCTTTAGTTGCTTTTTCTGCAAATCTTTGATAGAAAAGTCATTGGAACTTGATGCTCTTTTTCAAAATTGATTGACGTCAAGTGGATTTCGGGGTCCAATACCACAAAGTCAGTCAAATAATTTTTGCCATATTTTGCTTGCATTTTTGTCTCTATAATAGTTTTTATAACTAAAAAAAGAAAAAAAAAATGTTCTAGTCATTTTATTTTTTAATAAAATGACTAGAACAATTTTTTTTTTTTTTTTTTTTAGTATAAATTCTCAAATATTAAAACAATTTAAATCTGAAAAATGTAAGAACATTGTTCTCAGGAAGATATTTAAAATATACTAAGACCTTTTCATAGGTTCAGTTGATTATTACTTGCTTTTGGTACCATATACTAGGCAACAAATATCAGTTTTCAACACCAATTTCCTTCTATTTATTGGAAAATAATGATACACATTTGTTCCTATGTATTTTATGGAGTGCTGAATCTATTTTGGATATTGAAAATCTCCATAAAAAGTAGTCTGAAAGCACTTTAATTTAAGCTCTTTTTGGATATGTTAGCTCTTCACTAGGGTTTCTTGACCTAAACCCCTATTTCTTAGAAATATAAAAGTTTTATTTTTAATCTTCATATTAAACACAAATAATATGAATATAATTCCATGATTGCACTGAAACCCATTCAAAAGGATCAAAAATCACAAATGTCTATTTGGCTCTATTGTGCAAGTGTACTGTGAACAAGAAAGAATGGTGAAATATGCAACTACCTAAGCCATAAAATAGCTATATAATTTTACTCAGGACTTATTATTTCTTTTTCTGTTCTTCCTTAATATTCTCTTCATGATGCTAAATGTTATTTAACCAAGATTTTTAAAAAAATTTTCCATTCATTTGTATATTTACTGGAAAATCTATGACAGTAGATAACCTATAATAAGTGAGTCTTTGATTTCAAACAGTCTTGCTCACCTCTTGTATTGGTTAGTCTAGCATAGAAATTTTGTATGAATCATGAACCATGAATACAGCATTTTCATATTACAGATGTGCAGAATGTATAATCTTTCAATTGGCCGGAATCCTGGATGTTAGGAGATGACATTTTATGGTCTGTCAACTCCCAATTGTATCAGTTGTAGTTAAGATCCATCCAGATATAGTTCCAAATTGAACAGGTATGAAGAAAAGAAAGAACAGATCAAAGAAAATTGTGAAATTAAGAGAAAAGGAAAGGTGAAAAAATGAATAATAAAAAGTGAAAATAAAAAAGAAAGGGAGAGTGAAAAGAAGAAGAAGTAAAAGGAAGAAAAAGGAAATTGAAAGAAAGGGAAGGAAAAATATAAAAAAAGGATAAAGAAAAGTGAAAAGAAAGAAAATAAAGAAAGGAAGAAAAAAAGAAGTGAAAAGAAGGAAGAAGAAAAAATAAAAGAATAAAAAATAAAAGAAATGAAAGGAAAAGAGAAGTAAAAGATTGGGAAAAAGTGAAAGAAGAAGAATAAAAGAAAGGAAAAATGAAAATATAAACTAAAGAAAGGAACAAGGAAGTAAAAGAAAGAAAATAAATAATGGTGAAATGAAATAGAGAAAAAAAAACAAAGTGGAAGTAAAAAGAATAGAAAAAAAGAGAAGAAAGTGAATGAAAAGAAAAGAAAATGAAGGAAAGGTGAAAGGAAGAAAGCTAAAATGTTACAGAAAAAGAGAAGAGAAAGAAAAAAAGAAATAAGGGAAAAAGAAAGGAAGAGAGAAAAGGAAGATTGGAAGAGAGAAGTGAAAGAAAAATGAAAAGAAACAAAATAGGGAAAGGAAAAAGAAAGAAAAAATGAAAAAAGCAAGAAAATAAAAAAGGAAAACGAAGCAAAAGGAAAAAATTAAAAATAGTAAAGTGAAAAGAAGAAAAGGAAGGAAAAGTGAAAATATAAAAATAAAAAAAGAATTGAAAGAAAGAAAAGTGAGTAATAGAAAATAGATAAAGAAAATAAAAGCAAGAAATGAGGAAACAGATGAAGAAAAGATTGAAAGTAGCAGGAAAGAAGGAAGCAAGATGCAGATAAAGAAATGGAAGAAAAGAGAATAATAAAGAAAATATAGGAATGAAGATAGAACAAAAGATATTAAAGAGAAAAATAAAGAAAAGAATAAAAGTAAAAAAAATTGCCAACATTGTTGAAGAAGAGCAGAGGTAAAAAAGAATGGAAAAGGAAAACAAATCAAAGATAAAAGAGAAAGAAGTTAAATTAGTAAGGAAGGGAAAATAGAAAGAAACTGAAAAAGAAGAGAAGAAAAAGTGAAGCAGAGAAATAAGGAAATCATTAACACCATTAAAATGGTGTTAAGTGTCACTTAGAATCATTAAAATGGTGAATCACTTCTTAGAATAAATGAAGAATTATATCTCTTTTATCCTTCCTTAATTTATGACAGCCTATAGACAACAAATCAGTTTAATGAGATTTAACAGACTTGGCCACAGTGTTAGTCATTCATGTCCAGAACTGATTTACCAGGACATTCTGGTCATGAATTTGTATCCTTGATTAGTCACTTGTGGAATGAGGTAATTCTCTCAACTGATTCAAGGCCTCAATGTTTTTAATAATATTGCATACAGTGAAATTGGAAATGCATTTGAAGTTATGTTTAATATAAAATTATATTAGATGCCATAGAATACACTCACACCATTTACATGTAATATAACAGGTGATGCTGAAAAGCTTTTGGCCTGACTACAAAGAATGACTTAGAGCCATGAAACATCTACTATTTTAGATATTCATCTTTAAGTTCAACACACCTGGCATATCATTTCACATGTTTCTTTTAATACGTTCTCACCAGATTCTTGTTCGGCCAATGAAATACTGTTCTGTTGCTGCCATCACCTGTGAAGAATTCAAATAATTCCTCTCTTAGAAACTTCATTTAGGATTTGGAAATGAGACATTTTTATATACAATAAGATCTTGTAAATAGAATGGTTAGTCTGGACTTAAATTCTTCATAACTTATATCATCTTCTCAGCTCTGTAAGCAACTGCCTCATTTTGCAAAGAGCACCTTTCTGACACTTAAGAGATAAAGAAAGTTAAGTTAGATTAGAGTGAACTAGAGGGAGTTTCACCCAACACCACAAATGGCTACAGAACCAAAACATTAACCTGAAAAATTGAGTCATCTTATTAAATAGCACTGTTCTTGTCAGATAGAGACTTTCATAGGGATATCATAAAAACCTGTTCAGAAATATCTAAACTGTCAGTTGTATACAATGACTTTCTGAGATCAATGGTTAAAAATTGTTTTGAGTGAGGGAAGCCTCTGGCTCTTGGTGAAGACCATATGTCTTTGAACATTGTCAATTGGTGCTACTGAATCACAAACAAAGAAATGTACCAGATTACAGAAACATCACCTGAAGACTTTTAACATCACCAAAAACTAAAATAGGCATCACATGTAGAAGAGAAAATAATGACACAATCAAGATGTTGACATTCTAGACTACTTTAAATAAAAAGTTAGTAAGGAAATCCCCATAAATACTAGAAAGAGTGATTATAGTTACTGGGCTTGAAATTTATTTTCCTGAAAATTTTTATAAATTTCAACCAACATTAGTACTAGCTACTAATGTTTCCTTATAAGGAAACAGCTAATATTACCATTTCCTTTCAATGTCTCCTTTAATCAGCAAATTAAGGTAGAGTAGTATTCTACATTAACTGTTTGATCTTGAAAATGTTTCCTTATTTTTTTTTAATCAGTATAACCCCATGCAAGGTAGTAAAGCCACTAAGACACAATGGGTTACAGAGTCAGGAAGAATTAGGGAAAGAAGCATTAATAATGAGCTGAAAGAGAAAAGAGTAATCAGGAGAACAGTAGATAGCGATTGACATTGTATTTAAATTTTTGCCGGTTAAATTTAGCTGGAAATCATATAGCTGGAAGGAAGTTCCACAAATGAGAAGTGCCAGAAAAAAACTGTTTGTATAGAACTTACAGTTACATCTAGCCAGCTTAACTGTAAATTGATAAGATCTCGATACAAGTCTAGTACTGCGCTTAAATTAAAAAAGTCTAGGTACCATAGTGAAGAGCTCATCTGAACAATTGCCATGAAAGTATTTATAGAAAAGACACAAAGTGTCAACCTTATGGTGGTGGGAAAGTGACTGAAGCTGAGCCGCCAGATCAGGACAAATAGTATTGCTGATTCTTCTTTGGATTTTATCAAGGTGCTCAAGGTAAATAGCAGAGGCACTGGACCATATATAGAAGCAATATTCTAAGCATGGATGAATGGTAGACTTATAGATATGTAAGATTGATTCTGGAGAGAAAACTTGTCTTGCATGGAGCAGTGAAACAAATTTCTTAGCAGCTGACCTAGCAATGGATTCATTATAGTCTTTCCACTTTAATGCCATCTGAGAACATTAGCCTGAGAAGGTGCAATGAGTTACTTTCCAAAAATGAGTGAGCATGACCTTTCCTGCTGACTGAGCCTGAGTTACAACACTCCAAGGACATTTGTTTGATCCCATCTGTCATAATGGTGTAACCAAATTTTATCTACAGTGATGAGTCATTTAAAAAACAAACAGTAGATTGCTGAAAATATTGCAAAATCAACTTGGAAATGTTTCTCATCAGCCTTCAGATATTTTGGTACACATTTGACTGACTGTTTCTATATATATATATATATATATATATATATATATATATACCAATGAATTCCTTGGTTTCCTTTTGGATTCTGAGATTTATTGATTGTTCCAAATTAGGTCATGGACATGATCAAAAATTTAAGGGGTTACCACCATGGAAGACCTCCAGGGATCTTAAACATGATCCTCCCAGACCATATACCTACTTGAGTCCCAGGATTCCATTGTTGGAAGTTGGCACATTACCGCTGAGTATGATGATCTCTTGTCACCCAATGTTTGCATTATACACTTATGGACTTCCTTTAGAGATTTCTTTTACAGGAATAGGCACTTCATGATGACACAGAGTTCAACAATAGAAATATTCCACACTTCATGTTGATATGTTACAGTCAATGATCTGAAACAAATCAAAAAATATATACATCTTGCAAACTAGCTCTTCTAAAATTACATTTTTTTCTGTGAAAAAAATAAAAAAATAAACAATGATCATATTTTGGGAAATAGATTAGCAGAGAATTTTAAAGGAACCTTTCATACAGAGTATATTGATACTTCACTCTATAGGGTGCGATGGATAAATTGTCATCTAAATTATGCAAAAATGAAAATAATACTGACGTCTCATTTTAACATATATTTACCAAAATTACACAAAAAATATGTTGAAATAGGAGTTTTGTTGGTCTCTTGCTCAACCTACACCTAATAATCAAGGAGGTTGCAATCTGAGGAGATAGGTGGCCAGATGTAAGGGGTGTTTGACAGCCATGACTGGGTCCTCCTGCTTGTGTGGCATGGTGCAGAGTCCTGTTGCCAGACATAGTGTCTTTCATCAGCCACCTTCTTGACCCAAGGCAGTACTACCTCCTTAAGGTACTTGATGGAGGCCTCTGTGTTTAGTCTGAGGCTCTGTGGAAAGATGAATAGAGGCATAACATTGCCATCACTAATGATCATTCCAAACACCTTTGTAATCACCATTAGACTCATCCAACTCTTTCCAAATCCTCTGCACTGACCTCAGATTAACACTCAAACACTCTGAAATGTTTTTATTGGAGCTTCCGATGTGAATGCGAAGCAGTACAGCATGCCATTTCCAAATCTCTAGTGGAGTGAATTGCGTCATTGTGCTCTTTTTTGCACAGATGGTACTCAACTGACCCTACTATACTGTGCAAGTAACAAAATCAAAAACAATGTACATGTCAAAATTAAAAACAGTTTACTCGTTGCATCATGTATATCCAAAGCAGAAGTGCAAGAAAATGACAGCATACAGTTACTACACTCTGATCCTAGGTGGAGGCCTAGTAAGTGATTTATGATCTTAGTAGTGGTACTGTTCAATACATAATCACATCATCTTTAAGAGGTATGATGCTTGCTTTATATATAACATATATGCTAACACCTGTGCCTACTAACAAGCAAACTGATAATTACAGGTTGTGTAATTGCTCACTAATTCTTCTATATTTTTCTTCTTTTACCAGTTCTCATTTCTAAGAGTTCGCTTCTACAATTACTTCTTTATTTCCTTAACTTCAAAGTCAACGTCCATGTCCTCTGCACCAAACAGGATTCCTTTTCTATCTTGTTCTTGAACCATTTCAAAGACAGAACAATCTACCCTGACAATCTCCTTAACAATTTCCTGTCTTTAGAAAAAAAGTTGAAACAATTTCTTTTAAAATCCAAACTTGAATGATAATTTTCAGGACTTCTGAGAAACAAAAAGCTGAAATAAAATATAATCTTCAGTTAAAATAAGTTTCTTTTTATATTAATTATTCTCTTCTTATTTTATTTATTACTATTATATGAGTGGTCAGAAAATATTAATAGAAACGTATAGATGAATTTAGAAGTATGTATACAAACATAGTCAGAACTTGTCCAGTTATTAATACTAACAAAAAACAAAAATGATATTTCAGTTATTATTTTTGTAAAAAGTATAATTTTTGAGAATTCTTAGGTCTTTATTTAATACTAAATTCTGGGTATTAAGTTTGATAATAATACTAATGCTTGATTCAAAAATCGTACGACTCATACAGCAATCACTATCACTTGGCTTAAAATATTTTTGCCCTTCCTTGCCTTTAAAGGAGTGTCCTTTGCCGTGCTGGTGTTGCTACATGCCTTCTTGCCTATCTCACATAGGCTCTCACTCTGGCCAGTAGAAAATGGCTGCAAACTACATGAAAACTGATGTAGAAGCATGAAAAAAAATCGATTATTTCCACTATCGATGGGAGTTGGGAAATGCAAAGTCAGTCTTGGTCTTCCTGCTAACTTGGAGCATGTGCATGTAAATTTTGGTGCAAATCCATCGAAAATTGCAGCCATGCATTCGTTACACACATCCTGCCTTTTATAGATAGAGATTGTTGTTACCTTTTCTGTAGCTGTTCAGAAAATTAAAGGAAGAGATCTAGAAGCAATTTGATTATCAAATTTCTGAACATATGGATGTATTTTATTGTATACTTAGGGAATTTTCTTTTTCAACACTATTTACATTATTTGGACTATTGTCCTCATCATTGTCGCCATATTTATTACGTTTTAGTTGTTGTTTGTTCCGGCCTTCTTCAGGTTGTTGGAATGTTGAATGAAGAAGGCTGGAGCGTACAATGGCCAAAACGTTGTAATAAATATG